GCATGTTTGGTCAATTTCAGACTGCAGAAGTTGGTAAAAATCTTCAATTTCCTCATCTTTGGCTTTGGTGGTTGGTGTGTAAATTTGACTAATATTAGTATTAACTGGTCTTTCTCATAGGTGTATAGATATTATCTTATCACTGACAGCATTGTACTTCAGGATAAATCTTGACACATTCTTTGTGATGATGAATGCCACAACATTCTTCTTCAATTTGTCATTGCTGGCATAGTAGTTCATATATTTTATCTATTTATCTTTATTCTTTCTTCCCTCCTCTTCCTTCTCCTGTAGCAACCATTCTTCCTCTTCCTTTAAATATTTAAACTAGGTAAAACAAGATCATGCCATTTGCAAGGGAACTTAGAAAGGATCATCTACATTTCAAAGCCAAACAAGAAGCCAGGATTCTAGAGTATTTCCAACCAGTGGTTAAAAAGCATATGGAACTCAAGCATGAGTTCCTCTAGGAATGAGGAAACTGATGGAATAGTGGAAAAGAAACATTACATCTGGAGATTCCCTCAATTTAATTCCCTCTAGCACTGTCATTTTAGATACTAGTCTAGAATATCCAAAACTCAGGTGGCACTAAGGGCTTTGGCTGAAGTAAAATGAAAGTATTAAAAGAGGAAAGAAAGTTGAGGGGAAAAGAGGAAACTAAAAGACAGTTGCCAACACTAACTAAAGGAAGCAATAATAATGGACAAATGCAGATTGAGTTGTGTGATTTAGGGATAGACAATACATAGAAAGCTGTCTTGTATCTACCTTTGCCCAAAGAAATAAAGGCAGAAAAGAAGACAAAAAAGGAAAGCATAGAATATAATGAATACAAAATAGCAATAGATCTACTGGTCCCAGATTAACTTACCTCAGATCTGACAGTATCACCATCTGAGAGTCCTATGGAATATTCTTTCAGAGACAGCTAAGTCTTACACATAGCATCCTAGATTAATTCTATTCTAAAGCTAGTTGTTCTGGACCTAGTAATGTCAAAGTGGATGCTTATCAACTGTTAGTTTAATTAAAAATACTCTGTAATTTAACAAAACTGCTAACTAAAGTTTGTTTTTATATAAACAAGGTCCCTGCCCCAGGTTGTTTGGTTCTTCTATGAATATTTTTGGGAACACTGAGTATTAGGTTTTTTTAAAACCAGTTATCTCCAATGTATGGTGATCCCATGTGCATCAGAGAAGAACTCTCTTGTACATGGTTTTCAATGGCTGATATTTTGTAAGTAGATTCCCAGGTCTTTTTCTTCTAAGGAGCCTTAGGGTGGACTTGAATTGCCAGTGTTTTGGTTAACAGTAAGTATTTAGCTGGTTGCACCACCCAAGGACACCATTATATGTTTACCCATCTGTAATTACCTAAAATACTATCATGCCAAGAAAAAAAAATAGTACCATATCAGACCCATGGAATTCCTTAAAATAGGTTCAGCAGTGGTCTGTCAGTGTAGTACTTTGGCTGGTGATGAGTATGTATCTGTTTCAAATATCTGTATCTATATCTATTTAACTATCACATATTTGATGATATATTATGACATCTGATGTCATAAGCATTTTAAATTTGTAATCTACCATTTCAATGAAAGGAAATTAACCTGGTTTGCCAGTAGATACTAAATGCTAACTTCTAGCAGTGTCCAACCTATTAGTTCAAGAATTTTCTCTCTTTCATTTAATGATGGAGTGCTCAATACCCTTGTTGGAGACTGGAAGACTAAAGCAGTATGCAGAGGAAATGACATTTCAACTGAAAGTTCAAAACAAAACAAACAAACAAACAAACAAAAACCCACCACATTTCACACAAAAAAAAGAAAAAAAACAGAGATAAGGTTTTAAGAAATCGTGTTACAGTTTAGGTAAAAGAGACTATGTGTAGAACAACTTTGGGCTGATAAAGCTATTTAAACTCACATTTATTGAATCCTTAGATATATCTGACTATTAAATCCTAACAATCATAGAGAAATAAGGGCATTTGGTGGACATATTAAATGCTTCACATATAATCTGTAATTGTGTGTGCATGAACGTATGTGTTTAATTATTTAGAATAACAAATTGTGTTTTTCCTTAATATTGATATTTTATATGTTTATATATAAATATGATTTGATTTGATTTTTACTCTAAAATTTTATCTTTTCTAATTTAGAACACTGAAATATGAAAATGTCCACATTTTCCTCTGTTAGTATGTACCAGTTATGTTTCCAAAGACACACCTACTATAGCTCCAGGTGATAGATGGCTAGACAGGCCAAATACGGATGGACTCTAACTAAGCTACCATGGCATAAGTATCCTGCCATGTCCTCATTAAGACTAAGACTGAATGTTACTAGGAATAAACATACTAAAGGCATTCAATTGTTTTGTATTTCATTGGATGTGATTCTTCTTGCATTTTTTTTTTAATTTGTCCCCTCTTAGACTTTAGTTTGGAAGAGGGCAGACTTAATACAATAAAACATTATTTGTACATGTATATTTCCCAGAAGTCCAAGAAGATAGTGTGAAAAAAAAATAGTATACCATTAATAAAAAGAGAATACTAAACAAATAGAAAATTATTATAAACAAGGTTAATAAATACATTGCATTCCAGAAGTTTTAATATATATTATAAATTTTCTATCTTTCAAATTGTACTAAAATATTTTAAATGTCATGTTTACTTTCTTAAAGAAAACAATCTGACAATTACCTTAAGTTGTTCTTCTAAGGCAGCGGTTGCATGATCCCCACTAGTTTCGTCAACCACCACCACCATGTGAGTGAGAGAATTGACCCTGACCTGCTCCTGTTCTAGGTCTTCTTGAAGCACCTGAAAGACAAAACATACATACATACATACATACATACATATTTTTTTTTTCTGAAAAGGAATGTAAAAGAATAATCTCTTGATATATACACCAGAAAAAATTTCTTCACAAATGTGTGTGATTTATTTCTGCCATGTCTTGGGTAATGCCATTATTATTAAGTTAGAACCATTACACACAAATTTTCTTCTATGATGTTAAACCATATAAAAAAGAATTTATATGTTTCTATTGTCAATTGAGGAGCTCTGGTAGCATAGTGGCTAAAGCACTTGACTGCTAACCAGAGGCTGGCGGTTCAAACCCACCAGCCACACCTCGGAAGGAAGGTTGGGCAATCCTACTTCCATAGTGATACTGCCTCGGAAACCCAAGGAGGGGTCGCTATGAGTCGGGGCAACTCGACGGCACATAACAACAACAACAACATTGTCAATTGAACTCAAAAGTATATTAAGAGAGCATATATTGAAAAAGGTACAGGTGAGATTTTCTGTCCCTTGTCCCTTTTACCTTTTCAAAGACTTTTCTCTTGCAATAACCTGTCACCTCTGGCATCTTTAATCTCTTCAACTCTACTAAAGCTCTCCATCACAATACAAAACCAAACCAATGCTCTTGACCCTAAATCCCTGCCAGCTACTTCCCCATAATTTGTTCCTCTTCAATGAAAAATATTTTGTTTTCTACAATTACTGTTTCTCTTCTTTTACAATAACACTCTCTTTGTTCACTATGCCATGGAAATATCTCTTGTCAAGGTCACTATCAATCCCAGGTTCTCAAATTCAATGGTCATTTTTAAAAATTTCATCTTTTCTTCCTTTTATGTGCCACCCTCTCCTGTTTATCCCCTCGTTTCACTATCTGTACTTTTCAATTCTTTGTTGGCTCCTTCTCTTAGCTAAGATTGAAATAGATGGCTTTCCTCCCTGAGTAAGTCAATGGATTCCCATCACATTAAAGGAAAGTCTAAACCCCCTACTTGAAGTCCTTACACAGTAAAACCTCTGAAAGTCGGAATGTGCATAAAGTGGAAACCACTAAGAGAGGAAAATTCAAGTATTTTCCACTACAAGGAGTGCTAAAAGACTGGTAAGACTTTACCTGTCAAAGGTACAAAACTTGCAAGAACGAGAAAAACAAGACTGTCTCCTTGAGTTCTGGATCTCTCAGGTTTCAGTATTTGATCTAGCACTTGCCTACCTCTCCAGTCTAACTGCATATAATTTCTGTCTTCTTACACTGTTTCAGCCAGTTTTTTTTTCTCTTTTCCAAAAATTTGTTAAGCTGTTCACTCTTCATGCATTACTCATCGTCCAGATCTTCAAATAATCTCTCCTTATAATTCAGTACTAAAATTAAGTGTCACCCTCTCAGAGAGGCTTTTCTTCAGCACAGTATCTAAATTTGCTCCCTAGTTACTTTCTGTTCTTGTTGTTGGTGGTGTTAGGCGCCATCAAGTTGGCTCTGACTCATAGTGACCCCACATACAACAGAACAAAACACTGCCTTGTCCTGCACCATCCTCACAATCTATGCTATGCTTCAGCCAATCGTCGCAGCCACTGTGTCAATCCATCTCATTAGGGTTGTCCCCTTTCTTGTTGACCCTCTATTTCACTGGTGGTGCAGTGCCTAAGGCGTTTCACTGCTAACCAAGGGGTTGATGGTTCAAACCCATGAGCTGCTCCATGGAAGGAAGATGGGCAATCTACTTCTGTAAAGATTTACTGCCTAGGAAACTCAATGGGGGGGTCACCTTGAGTAAGAATTGACTCAATTGCAGTAAGTTTAGTTTTGTTTTTGGTTCTACTTCACCAAGTATGATCTCCTTCTCCAGGGATTGGTTCTTTCTTACAACATGATCAAAGTACAAGCGACAAAGTCTGGCCATTCTTGCTTGAATGGAGCATTCCTCCAAGACAGATTTGTTCGTTTTTCTAGCAGTACATTGCACATTCAATATTTTTTGCCAACATCACAAACTAAAATGCATCAATTCTTCATTCATTATCCAGCACTCACATGCACATGAGACTGTTGAAAATACCATGGTTTGGGACAGACACACCTCATTTTTCAGAGTGACATCACTGCTGTTAAACACTTTAAAGAGGTCTTTTGCAGAAGATTTACCCAGTGCAATATGTCGTTTGAAATCTTAATTGCTGCTTCTATGAGTGTTGATTGTGGGTCCAAGTAAAATGAAATCCTTGATGACTTCAATCTTTTCTCCATTTATCATGATGTTGCTTATTGGTATAGTTGTGAGATTTTTTGTTTTCTTTATGTTGAGGTGCAATCCATATTGACAGCTGTAGTCTCTGATTTTTGTCAGTAAGTGCTTCAAGTCTTCTTCTTTTTTAGCAAGCCAGGTTGTGTCATTTGCATATCACAGGTCATCAGTGAGTCTTCCTCAAATCCTGATGCCTTGTTCTTCTCCATCTATGCCAGCTTCTCAGATTATTTGCTCAACATACAGATTGAATAAGTATGGTGAATGGACATATCCCTGATGCACATTTTTTTTCTGATTTAAAACCATGCAGTATTCCCTTGTTCTGTTTGAACAACTGTCTCTTGGTATGTGTATATGTACAAGTTCTTCGTGAGCACAGTTAAACATTCCAGAATTCCCATTCTTCACAATGCCATCCATAATTTGTTGTGATTCATAGTCAAGTGCCTTTGCATAGTAAATAAAACATAGGAAAACATCTTTCTGATATTCTTTGCTTTCACCCAAGATCCGTCTGACATCTGAGCAGTGATGTCCCTCTTTCCACGTCCTATTCTGAATCCAACTTAAAATTCTAGCAGTTCCCTGTGAAAATGCTGCTGCCATCATTTTTAAATTATCTTCAGCAATGTATATATGCATATAAATATATGTATATATGTCTCTCTCTTTCTCTCTCTCTCTCTCATATATATATATATATGTTGTTGTTGTTGTTGTTGTTGTTGTTATGTGCCGTCAA